TAACTTTAGAAGAACTGGAGTCTTCCCGTATTTGAGTGGATAAATCGAAAAGAGTTTGAATAGAACGAAAAACATACTCTCGCTGTGACGTATAAAGTTTAAGTTTCATTTCTTCTTGCGACATGATTATAAAATAACAGCGAAAAATTAAATATGAATGTTAAGTATAATTATTAACGACAGATATTTAAAACATTATTTAAGTTTCTCCAAACTAAATTAACATTCAAATACTGAATTTAATGTTAACGTTTTTTTTAACCATTTGAATTAGATAACAATTAACAAACGACCCAACATTCATAGATATACAAGTATTTATACTTAAGTGCTATTAGTCTAAGACCAAATTAATCATTTCCATAAACTGATTTAGTAATTTTTTCCAACAATAATTATAAAATACCCTCAAATTATAATAATTTTCAAAGCGTAAGACTATCAATGCACATTCGAAATAAACTTAGCAATTATAACGCAACCAAATAAGATAAGTCTGCAAAGTCTGAGCAATACGAAACACTTCACGAGCATTTAAGTCTAGCAGGATTATAATTGAAATGAATTAGTTACTTTCAATTATAAGAAAAATAGATTAAATATCAAAGTTTTCCTTAGAAATTGAACTTGATATTATCTTTATGAGGAGCGGACTGTATAAAAATAGAAATCCATAGGTACCCGGATCGTATGGACCAGAAATTATGTTACGGCTTGAATGTTTCGCAATGTGTTTCGTGGGTGGTTTTGGGAACCAGAGAACAACCAGACCAAGGGCTGGCTAACCCGATGATCCCAACCGGGAAGTAAACGAAAATAGCTTTAGAACTGGGTAGATAAGGTAAGGACACTCACAAGACTGGAGCACTCATCGTTGTTATGGTGAAGTCTGTATATTTAGGCTGAAGTTCTCGTGTATACACAGATACCACACTGCACTTCGAATGTATATGGACACGAGCAATTGCACGATAGTCTTACAACTTATTTATTGGTTATTTTTAAACAAGCGGTAACGAACACGTTTTATGCGTGCGCGGCCATCTTGCTCTTTTTTCTTTTTCTTTTTTTTTTCTACGATAGGTGGCGCATCATTCTGAGCAGTGCGTATACGGGGGAGGCGGGAGGATAGGAAACACTTAGGAAAAGGATGTTATATTGGGACTGTTCCGAAGCCACAACAGTTAGCGTGTTAGGAAAGCTACACCACGACCGGCGGTAACAGGAGACTTGCCTCCCGAGAGGTTAAGAGCATTCGAACGACCGTTCACGTAGACCGGGTTAGATTATTTCGGGCCGTTAACTGTGACTATAGGGCGACGGCATGAGACGACATGAGTTGCGTTATTCACCTTCTTACGACGCGCGTGGTACACGTAGAATTGGTATATGGCTTAACCACGGACTTGGCAATCATGGCGCTTAAGCGTATGGCGGCTAGGTGCGGGTGGCCTAGGGTAATCTATTCAGACAACGGCACCAATTTCCACGGAGCAGACACCGAATTACGATGGGCCATGGAGGAGTGGGCACTGCAGCTTAAGGACTTCGCGTTTACTCATCGGACGGAGTGGAAGTTCATCGCACCGGGTGCGCCCAACCAGGGAGGCGCATGGGAACGATTGGTGCGTTTCATCAAGGCGGCGCTCGAGGCTACTCTTCATCAAAAGAGCCCCAAGGAAGAAACACTCATAACGCTATTGGCAGAGGCGGAGAATACGGTAAACTCCAGACCTCTCACTCACGTGCCAGTCGGGATCAATGACGAGGAAGCCCTGACTCCCAACCACTTTCTTCTGTTGGGACCATCCAACATGCCAGTCACCGCGACGTGTTCATCGATCGATGAATCGACGGACCTGGAGGGCTGCGCAAGGACTGGCCAACGAGTACTGGCGATGCTGGGTGCGCGAGTACCTACCCAGGTGCTCAGATGGGAATACAGGAACGCCCAGCAGCCCCAGATTAAAGAAGACGATCTCGTTACCATAGCAGACGGCAACCTCCCGAGGAACGTGTGGCCATGAGGAGTCGTCACAAAGACCTTTACCGGACCAGATGGAGTGGTGCGGAACGTTGAGGTCAGGACGAGAGGCGGCTTGCTGAGGAGGCCGGTCAGGAAGATCGCCGTCCTCTCGAGAGAAAAGGGCTCGTGAACTACGCCGGGGGGAGGGTGTTGCGGACGGCGAAGAGATGATAATAACAATTATAAAGTTATAATTATGACTGATAGACGTCCTGTGGGAGAACATCGTGGAAGGTACAATGCTCCCGTTGCAGACGAAGTTGCAGTAATCTTAGTCGATCAGGAATGTGACAGACGTGATATAGCATTACGTACTCATGATGATCGCTTACAACGCATTTACAAAACACATTGAGCTTATGACGCTCTGCAATATCCATTGATATACTTCCATGTTGAGGATGGGTACAATTTCGGAGTCTATCAAGTTAATCCAAGGACTAGAATAACAAAAACGATAAAAATATCAGCCCCTTCAGTTTTATTCTTACCAGATACAAATTAGACGGAATTGTTTTAATTATTTACAACGATTTCGAGGATTATTCAGCAAATTCATCATCGATATGTACGCGAAAATAGAGACAGGGAGGTTAATTTATATAAGCACTAACCAGACACGATTACATTCTGAGGATTATGTGCATCTGCGAGACGCAATGCATCAAGATAATAATGTGGAGAATATGGGACGATTAGTTATCTTACCGTCAAGCTTTATAGGAGGTCCACGATACATGCACGAGCGTAATCAAGACGCCTTTTGCTATGTTCGTCCCCAAGGGTAGGATGCAAAGAAAGACCGCATCCCATCCCAATCGGCTGACCTATAGTGCCAAACACGGCGGCAGCCTGCGGAATGCAACTGCGATTTCAGCGTGAGTGGCACCACACTCCGGACAAGACAATGGTCCAAGTAGCCTAAAGGGGCTTCGACGGAAATCTGATATCTGTCCTTGTGAGAGGTAAACAGAAGGTCCAACAGGGAAGGTGCATGATCCTCCACATCTGGAATCCGCGTAGGCGAAGTAACCAGTTGTGTCAGACCATATGCCAAGGCAAAATCATGAACAGATCTCCCCGCATGATCGGTAAAACGTGAACCAAGCCATTCGGCGTGATGGGCGTTAAAGTCGCCGAGTCTTCAGGGTCTCGAGGGCCGCATATACCTCTGTAGTGAAAACACTGCATTTAGGGTCCAGAAGAAAACTTTGACCAATCTTGGATTGGGGATCATAAACAGCACTGCGCACAAAGAGCTCACTTTTGCAACCATCTGTATACAAAGTTTAATAGTTATTGTCGAAAAGAAAACTTAATAATTCACAGTTATTAAAAAAAATTTGTAACAATATTGGTCTCAAATATAATACAAGAATATGGGTATGAGTAGTACGTCCACTTTGATTGCTTAATTACATTTTTAAAATCTTCATTAATTTGTATTACAATGAGAGGCAAAACTGGGAAATAACCTCGTAAAAGCTCACCTTTCGAAGTCTGCTGGGCCGAGGATTGTACAGGCATAGGTACTATTTTTTGAGAACATTATCATTACCAGATAACAGCTTTAGTAAGTATCTCTCTATTAGTAAAAGTCTTCTAAGACACAGTGGTATTATTTTGGTTTCAACTTCCATAGCTCGTATGGGAGTTAAACACATAGCCCCAGTAATAATTCGCAGAGCTTTGTTTTGAATTATGTCTAGTTTTTTTATACAACTACTATTTGTGTAGGCTAAACAACTGTAGTCGAAGTGGCTTCTGACTATAGATTTATATAGCATACTTAAAACTTTGGGGTCTGCACCCCAAGTCACACCAGCTAAACATCTTATAATATTTAAGTCGATGAGACAGTTAGTTATAATGTGATAGATGTGTGAATCAAAATAAAGTTTGTTATCAATGACAACACCCAAAAATTTATGGTTAGGTACAACTGAAATTGGATGATTATTGTAGAGTATGCCATTAGAGGGAATTACTTTACTAAAAATCATGGCCTTGCTTTTGTTGGGGTAAATCTGTAGAGCCAAACTGTCATTATAATATATGTACAATTGGTCTAAAGCATTATTTATACTACATACAGCTCTGTCTACATTATGGTCTGTACAATATATTACAAGATCATCCGCAAATTGTAGAGTATTTACACCTTCTATATTTCATTGTGGCTTCCGATCGTCTTCAAAAGACGCTTGTTCCTGCCCCAAGGGGCGTTACCAGACGAACACCACTTGGTACCGTTAGATGGTATTCGACTGACCGCGTAAACGCGGTAAGAAACAGAACAATTAGTCGTTAACTATGTCCGTGTTTGACAACCGAAAAATTAGATAGTAGTACAAACGCGCCGCGTATCGATACACTCGTCGCGATTGTAGAAGATGTTCCGGCAACAGAATTTAGTATGACGATGCATCTCGCCGCGCCCGTATTAATTGACGCTGTCACTAGGCCCGCACCGCGCGCCCCGTCAGTTCGTTCAGCCCGGTCGACAGCTAGCGCGATGAATTGGAATGAATTGGAATATAAAAAAAAATGCAGGCTACCCTAGTGAATATTACGCAGCAACTTGTACCCTTGGCGTCACTTATTGAAGATGTAAAGACCATTAAGCTTGAAATATCGAATCTTAAGAGCTCAGTTGAATTTGCTCACCAAACTGCAAGCCAGTTGTCGGTGACGGTGAAGTCCCTGGAATCCAGAATTTCGCAAGTTGAGGAACACACCAATTTGATCCACATTTTGGGAGCTGAAAAAGTTCAAAGAAGATCTACAGGATAAGGAACAATGGGCGCGGGCCAATAATGTGGAAATAAAAGGGATTCCAGTGAAAAAGTCCGAGAACTTATACGATATTGTGGATAATATCAGTAAAGTTATCCAGTGCTCTATACGTAAAGAAGACATCAATTATATTGCCCGAGTTCCCAGCCTCAAAGCAGAGTCTCAAAAGTCCATAATCATGGCGCTCAATAATCGTTACTGCAAGGAAGAGTTTGTAGCAGCTGCGCGTAAACATAAGGAACTCAAAGTTTCCCAACTGGGATACGCCGATGAAGGCCATGTTTACGTCAACGACCATCTCACGCTATTTAATAAAGCTCTTCTTAAGAAGGTGAAAGATCTGGCGAAAACAAAAAACTTCAAATATGTGTGGATAAAACATTGCAAGATTCTGGCCCGAAAATCCGACACATCACCGACGTTCCGCATAAAATCAGAAAAAGATCTTCTAAAATTTTCATAAAATTCATAAAGTGTGTATATTTCAATTTACTAAATGCTTGTACGACATATTGCTCAAGATTATATTATTTCAACTCGCGTAAATATTGTGATTGTTGCGCCCGTGACGCGGGAAGCCCTGACTCTTTTGTATTGCTTATCGCTATTACTCACTACCTGTACGCGGCGGTCATTAGTGATGGCACTTCTGTTAATAGCTATCGTAACTGCATGTACTTAGAGGTAGAATTTCTCTGCACCCCGCATGTACTGGTGGAACATATTATTTTTACCTCATATTTTGCTTTTAAAATGTTACTCAATGTTTGCGTGTTGTCGATATCTACGAGATACTACCGTTCTCGCTTATTTAACTTTGCTTTTGCCGTCGTTTTGTTGATTGCTCTACTTGCAACTCGCTTTCGCAAAACAATGTCGCTTTGCAGTGGTGATTGTTGTGAATTCCAGACCAAAATCAGAACCAATTTTATATATAATGTAACGATTGTGTACTCTAAAATTCGCTATTAATATTTTTTATCAAAATGCTCGGGGACTACGCACTAAAACAAGCTTATTTAAGAGAAATGTGGCCTTAAGCAGCTTTGATATCATATCAATAACGGAGACTTGGCTATTAGATGGCATAAGTGATAGTGAACTTTTTTGATGAACGGTATATAGTGTGGCGGCGTGACCGCGACTACCGCTTCACCAGGCAGCGGTACGGCGGCGGCGTGCTGGTGGCCGTGCGCCGCGAGCTCGCCGCTACTGGTTGCCCGGCTTGGTACTCCTCCGCCGAAGATATTTGGGTCTCCGTGACACTCCGCACCAAAGCCGGCCTTCTCGCATTACACATTTGCACTATTTATTTATGTAAGGAGGGAGGCGACTATTCAATGAATACACAACTCGATAACTTCGCGAGTAAGCTTGGGGATAACTTTCACTCTGCACCCAACGACCTGTTTATGGTCTTGGGAGATTTTAATATGCCAAATATCAGCTGGGTCTTAATGGAAAGCGGTCAATTAGGGCCAATAGGTGTTTTAAACGAAAGTCAGGCAAATTTTTTGGACATAATTAATGAATGTAATCTCAACCAATACAATAACATACGAAATAGCAACGATAGGCTACTGGATCTTGTCTTTTGCAATAACCATGTAAATGTACTACCTAGTGACCACCCCCTTGTCTCGGAGGATTTACACCATAGATCAATTTGCATCGAATTAAATTTAGACATACCTAGTTTTCTGACTGTCAATAAGAGAACCGTTTTCAATTACAAAGAAGGAAATTATGTAGAAATTAATTCCAACTTGTCGAAAACAGATTGGAATGTCTTATTATCGAGCGGTTCTATTGACGACAGTGTTCATAATTTTTATCGTATTCTGACCGATCTTCGTGACGAATTTATACCTCACAAAATTATCTGTAGTAGCTCATTTCCTATTTGGTACAACGCCGCCTTAAAAAAAGGTTTTAAAAGAAAAATTCAAATATTTTAAAAAATATAAAAAATATGGTAACCGGTACGATTACGAAACATACTCATTTCTGAGAGAAAGAGCCATAAAATTAGAAAGTGAGTGTTATCAGTCATACATAAGTAAAGTAGAAAACTCGGTAGTAAATAACCCACGTCTTTTTTGGTCTTACACAAAGTCGCTGAAAGGGCCCTCCCAGGCACTACCATCTGTTATGACATACGAGGACCAGTCTGGTGATACTGGACAATCGGTGTGTAATTTATTTTCAGAATACTTTCAATCAACTTTTCTCGTTCCCGAAGCTAATAGCCGTACACCTAATCTTGATAATCAGTGCCAAGATAATTTTAGTATTGGTGACATAAATATAAATCCGAAGGAGGTTGAAATATTGCTGAAAACTACTAACATGAATAAAGGCGCTGGGCCTGATAGTATAACACCTTTTTTTATAAGGCAGTGCGTAGATAGCTTGGTTACGCCTCTATGTATTATTTTCAAGCGTTCTTTAAAAGAAGGTATAGTGCCAATGACCTGGAAATCAGCATTTGTAACGCCCGTCCATAAAAGCGGTGACCGTTCTAATGTAAAAAAATTATAGGACTATATCCAAGTTGTGTATATTTGCCAAAATATTTGAGAAAGTTGTCTACCGACAGATATATGCTACACTGCAGTCTTCTTTTACTCTTGAACAACATGGCTTTTTAAGACAGAGGTCGACTGTATCAAACCTTTTAGTTTTTAATGAATACACCTCTTCACAAATGGATTCAGGGCTACAGGTCGATTGTATTTTTACTGATTTTAGTAAAGCTTTTGATCGTATAGATCACTTACTGCTCCTTGAGAAACTGTACAAAGCCGGTATACATGGTAATTTATTTAGATGGTTTTCTTCTTACATCAGTAATAGATCCCAGGCGGTTGCAATAAATGGTTTTACTTCTGCGTGGATAACAATTCCTTCTGGCGTACCTCAAGGCTCTTTATTAGGGCCTTTGCTTTTTGTTATATTCATAAACGACATTGCGTTATGTTTCAAACATGCCAGAGTCTTATTATACGCAGACGACACTAAGATCTTTATGGCCACTAACAGCTCTGGTGACTGTGATCGCCTTCAGTCCGATCTGAATAATTTTGTGCAATACTGTACTCAAAATAAGCTTGATTTGAATGTTTCCAAGTGTTTTGCTATGACCTTTTCTCGTAAATTTAACTCTATAAATTATCAGTATAAAATCAATAATAAGTCACTTAACAAAGTTACATCTATGAAAGACCTGGGTCTCATTCAAGATTCTAAACTCTTATTTGATAAGCACATTGATTACGTAGTGAAAAAGGCCTCCAAGTCTCTTGGTTTCATTATAAGGTCTACATATGAATTTAAATCTATTAAACCGATTAAAGTACTTTATTGTGCTTATGTGCGCAGTATCCTTGAGTATGCCTCTGTGGTCTGGAATCCACAATATAACGTGTATACTTCCCGTATTGAGTCCATACAAAAAAGGTTCTTGAGATATTTACAATACAAGTGTAAGCAATTGGACCATGGTTATGAAACGAGATGCAATAGATACCACTTCTTACCTTTAGAAAAAAAGACGGCAACTCTTCGATATTACGTATCTATTAAAAATTGTCGGAGGCATCATTGATTGCCCTGCTTTGCTGGAAAAGGTAAGCATCTGGGTTCCGCGTAGATTACCAACTAGACGTACTCAGTCACTGGCTATTCCTAGAGTCAATACTAACTACCGCCGCAATTCATTTATTATTCGTGCGAGTAACTTTTTTTAACAAATTGTCAATAAATAACGGCGAATTAGAACTATTCCGTACCAAGCCTCATAATGTAAGTAGATTGTTTGCGTTGGAGTTCTTTGGCCCCCCGCGCCGTGGGTGCGACAAATTCTTAAATACTCTCAAATTTTAAAAACACTCCTCAACTTCGGGGATTTACTTGTTTATTGTTACTGTTGTCATGGCCTCTTTACATTTAAATAACCATATGCGAATACCTGTAAATGGCTTTGTCGAAATGACCAATTTGTATTCATGTAACGTTTATATGCTGTTGGTGTTCCAAATAAAATAAAATAAAAATAAATAAATAACGCAGCAGAAGAGCTCGCCGCGATTCGTAAAAAACAGTTAGAGATTCAGGAAGATTTAATCAAGAAGAAATACGCTAGGGACATTGCGCAGTTACTAGAAGAAACCGATAGGGAAAGCCTCGACAATATTGAAAATAGGAGCCGTGATGATCAGTGGTTAGATAACATAGTGGTTGTGCGGGAGGAGCCGCCCCACCGACAGTCTCAGCCCGCGCCCCGCGTCGAAGTAGTGTTAGCCCCAACGGAAATGGGGACCCATTATGACGCTGCACTACCCGTATATAGTAAGGACGCCCAGAGGACGACGGTTGCGAACGATGATTAGCCACGTCACGGTAACCACACAGCGCAGAGGGACATATTAGGAGCCGCCGCCGTCATCGAACGAGGAATACTGAGAGCAAGAGGTAGAATCGACGCGGCCGCTGTGGAAGATCAAAGGAAACGACCGGTCATATTGGACGGCAGACACCAGTTCGTACAGATGCTCGTGTAGAAGGCACACCAGGACGCTAGCCACACCTACAGAGAACGAGTAGTCAACGAATTACGGAGAAAGTACCACATTATTCGACTGCGACCAACGGTTAGGGAAATCGAGAAAAGGTGTATGCGATGTCGTGAATGAATAAATGAATGAATGAATATAAGTTTTAGCGTGTTAGGAAAGCTACACCACGACCGGCGGTAACAGGAGACTCCCGAGAGGTTAAGAGCATTCGAACGACCGTTCACGTACACTGGGTTAGATTATTTCGGGCCGTTAACTGTGACTATAGGGCGACGGCATGAGATGACATGAGTTGCGTTATTCACCTTCTTACGACGCGCGTGTTACACGTAGAATTGGTATATGGCTTAACCACGGACTTGGCAATCATGGCGCTTAGGCGTATGGCGGCTAGGTGCGGGTTGCCTTTTTTTTTTGCGGATGGAAAATCATCTAATGACGCCTTTCGCTCTGGGTGGAGCGTAAGGGAGTTTTACTGACTAAAAACCATCCGTGTTCCTTCAGTGCCCTTACGTTCCGGAGCCGCGGTATCTCTTTCGAACAGCCCGCAGCCCCGGCAGGCGTCGGCCCTTGCGGGCCCCTTCACGCTGCTGACAGCTCTTTGAGGCGCGCGTGGAACAAAACGCGCCGTCGACACGGCCTGTCGCCATTAGACGGACGGACGACGAGCTACCCATTTCTCGCCGTCCACAGGCCCGCGCCAACGGTGGCCGGGGGCCACGACGTAGCCCCCGACGCCCGGGGCGTCTCCCGCGGCGGCCGGGGAAGGAAAGCTGCTGCTCTCTCCTTCTCCCGCTCCGCCACCTCCTTCGCTAGCATCGCTGCTTCGCAGAAGGTGGTGACGGCATCCCATTCCGTCTCGCTCCGGACCATGGCTTCGACCAGG